GGTGGAAGCCAAGTCGACTTCTCTTGGCTTACTTTAGCACACAGAACATGGCAGGGCTGATGGTGTGAGATTGTTGGCGGTGTGGGTGCCATCCAATCTGTTCTGACTCACCGAAACCCTGTGCACACAGCGAAACAGCACAGGTCTTGCGCCATCCTCACCGTTGCTAGGATGTTGAGCCCAGGCCTGCAGTGTCGATCTGGCTTGTTGAGGGCTGTCCTCTTATTCACGGACCCCCTCCTCACCAAGCGTGGTGTCCTTTTCCAGGGACTGGACTCTCCTAATCACGTGTCCAAAGATATGAGGCCGAGTCTCACCATCCTTGCTGCTGAGAAGCATTTTGGCTGTACTTTCTCCAAAGACACACCGTTCCCCCTCCTAGCAGTGCATGATACTTTCAGCAGCACCACCGTCCAATTGCATCAATTCTTCCCCAGTTTTCCTAATTCATTGTTCAACTTTCATACCCACACGAGGTGACTGAAAACATCAGGGCTGGGGCCAGGAGCCCCTTAGTCCTCAAAGTGACCTCCTTGCTCTTCGACCCTTTAAAAGGTCTCGTGCAGCAGGTTTACCCAATCAAACATGTCATCTGGTTTCTTGACTACTGTTTCCACGAGCATTGATTGTGGTTCTAAGCAAAGTGAAACCCTTGACAACTTCCACATTATTTCCGTTGACCATGATATTGTGAGGATTTTCACCACGTTCAGTTGAAATCTTGACTGAAGGCTATAGTCATTAGCCTTCATTAACTGTCATTAGCAAGTGCTTCAAGTCCTTGCTTTCAGCATACCCCACGTTGTTTGCTAAGCCTTCCTTCTACCCTGAGCCCTCCGTCTTCTGCAGATAGTCTAACTTCTCAGGTTCTTTGCTCACCCTACAGATTAAACACATAGAATGCAAGGGCACCTAGTTTTGACTAGCTTAAAATAAATGCTCAAAAGAGTGTAGCTATTGTGGACATCTGATCAGAAGTGCGGTTCTATAGGTTCCGTCTTTTGGTTTTGAAGCTCTCTCCCTTCTTGTGAGTTGCCAGCCCCCAATTTAAGTTGATGTGCGTGGCCCAGCCATGTGGACTACATCTTCCATGCTGAGAGATTCGGATGTCTTCTCCGGTTCCATCAAGAGTCCCCAAATGTGGAGAGCTCCAGTCTTTCCTTATTTGCTGCTAGCCTCCATTCTTGGGCCCACGCTTTCATGACAGAATGTCAGCATTGGTGCTTCCCACTTCCTTCCTATGGTTACTTGAACCGAAGTGAGTCAGGTCTTACTGAAAAAACTGACCACAGTCGGCTCCCATTGTCCTTCAGAGCTGGGCAGGGTGTGAGAGAAGTCAGCGCTCACTCAGCCCATTCTTCTTCTTCTCTCCTCTAAGTCACGGGCCCTGAGTAGGGCTTCCCCCGCTTCAGGACCCTCCCAACAGACTGCAGCCAGAAGCCAATCTCAGGTGTGTCTGAAGGCACGGGGAGGGGCCAGAAAGAGCAAGAACAGATGGATTCTTGGAGGTTCCTGTCAAGGGGGCTCATCTAGTCCTGCATCGTGCACCAGAGCACAGCCTTGCTGCCCAAGATATCAACTCAAAGAGATTCATAGGTGCTTTTAGTAGTGACCAATCAACGGTGCACCCTGGGACCACCTCCTCGTGATGGGAACTCGTGCAGCAACTAATCCTACTTAATCCTTCCTTAAAGCCATGATGTAAGAATCAGGGACAGTCTTATTTGCTCTTGGACCTTAGGAGCTTGACAAAGCAATAAGCATACTAAAAGTCTTTTCCTCTCTATTTTAAACATGTCAGTATCTAGAAGCAGGACCATTAACAACTGGAAGTCTTCAGATGACACAAGCTTACCTGCTGAATATGAAGAAGACTTGGAGAATTTACTGACGAAGTTGCTAAACCTCTAGACTGGATTATACTTAAACAGAATGAGGACAAAAATCCGCATACGTGAACCAATAAGCAACAACATGATAAATGAAGAAAAGGTTGAGCCTGTCGAAGATTTAACTTTACTTAGATCCACAGTCAATATTCTTGAAGTCACATTAAAAGATCAAGTCTTGGGCAAATCTCCTTCAAAAGTCTTTGTGGCCCAATAAACTGGCTCAGTCTTCTTTAAAGGGTTACGAAGCAAAGCCACTTTGAAGACTAAGGCGCACCTGAGCCAACTCATGGTATTTTCAGTCACCTCGTATGTGTGCACCTGCTGGAGAATGTATTAGAAAAACAATTGGAAAATGTATGCATTTGAATAATGGCGTTGGCCAAGAGTATTGAGTATAACATGAAAAATGAATAAGTCTGTCTGTCTGGGAAGAAGTACAGCCAGAAAGCTCCTTCGAGGGTAAGATTGTGAGACTTCCTCTCATGTGCTTTTAGAAGGCTGATGGAAGGGACTAGTCCTTAGAAACGTACATCATACTTAATAAAGCGTCAACAACCACCAAAAAGGGAGACCCCCAATGAGATGGATGGATACAGTGGCTGCAATCATGGGCTCACACATGGCCATGAGGGTGCGGAGGACAGAGAGCAAGCAGGGGATCAGCACTGTCTCATACATGACCATCGCTATGAGTTGGTACCGACTGGAAGGCATCTAACAACAGCAACAAACAGTGCAGAATCATATCCTTAGTCATGAGAATTAGCATGACCTATGCTTTGGGCTGGTGCTGGACTGCTAACTGCAAGTTCCATGGTTCAAGCCTACCAGCCTCTCTGAGGGAGAAAGATGAGGTTGTCCACTCCTGTAAAGAGTTTCAGTCTCAGAAAGCCTAGAGAGGGTCCCTGTGATTGAAATGGACTTGATGGCAGTGGGGTTGTGTTTGATATATAGCCTCAATGATTTAAAGAGAAGTCCGTGGAAGGCATGATGGTGATCTTTGCTGTTGGCTTTTGAAGGGAGGGTAGCTTTTTTTTCTCCTGGCAGAAGGGTAACTGGCTTGCTCTCTCTGGAAGACAGAAATAATGAACTTTCTCCCTCCTGCCTTGGGGCTTTCTCTTTGTTTGCTGCCCCTCTACTTTAGCAAGCATGATGTCCTTTTCCACACCGCTGACAAGATGGAATGATATGGCGGCTGCAGCAATGAACTCAGCCATGAGAACATTGTGATGCTGTCGCAGGACAGGGAGAAATTTCCTTCTGTTGTACAGAGGGTCACTGAGTCCGAACTGACTTGATAGCTCCTAACAAAAGCAGCAATATCTCTCTTGGAAGCATGGTGGGTGGGCGGAATTTTTGTGACAGAGAAGTCATCAAACACCAGAGCATTGTTTTCATAAGATCCATTTATTTATTCAAAATTAAAATCTGTTCATGAAGACAGACAGACAGTGTAACATTCCCAGAGGAATTGGAGTGCTTCTAGTTATAACTGAGTTCTATTAGAACCGACTTGAGGGTGTTATAAATAACAAGCTGGCCACAGCTTTCAATAATACACGGGTTGAGGAGTAAGGCTAGGGAAATCCTTCTGAGCAAGTAGAAGTTTAATCATCACAGAGACTCCCTGGTTTTTCTTCCCAAGAGTCTTTGTAACATGGCAGGAACCCCCAGCCCAGAGATGAGAGAAATTATAGGGAGATCCAGGCACAATAACTCAACAGCTATAAAGTGTGGTCATGCATCATGGAATGCAAGCGTCAGTTGGCTCCCTAAGTCATTTTTTTCCTCCTTACATAAGTTACGATTTATTTTAAAACACTCAAATACCATAGGTTATGACCCCCATGGCCACAGCTTAAAACACAGGTGAAAAATAATAAATATTGAAAGAATGATAATATTGGGCTTCTTTCGAAATAGTTCACAGAGAAGCTCAGTCAATAAATAGAAATAGGAGTTGAGGTATCAGGGGAAATAAATATTCCAGGAGAGAGATACAATAGGACTGGTTCAGGCATCTGGGAGTCCTGGACCCAATTGCAGAGATCTCTGCTTCTTGTCCTAGAGTCCAGTAGAGGCGTCATCTTGGATGGTTAAAATTCCTTAAGAGGCTTTAGGTGTTATCACCAGTGTCATGTAGATCTCTATGTAGTTGATGAAGATGTCAAACTCACTCATAGCCTTGTAAACCCCTTTCTCTTGGAGCTGTGTAAAGAAAATCTTTAGTTAGACCCCATTTGATTGGCTAAGTGCCCCCCCCCCCCTTCTTTGGATGCCACATGGCCCTGGGGCATAGAAGCTGCGCTTGCTCCTTAGTATTGGGAGCTAAAAGGACAACCATGGGAATTTGAGGCTCTGCCCAACTGTGCTAGGCAGGGCTACACATTGACCTTGGTGTTCTCTGGGCCTGAGGCATGCCTAGCCAGTAGCAAGAGGAATATTTGCTTCCCAAAGCATAAATTTCAAAATGGTATCTTTTCAACAATTTTAAAGGCCATCTGCTCACATGCTGCTTCTTCAGAATTTGATGAAAAGACATTAGAGGAAGCAGTTGGACAGCAGGGCAGTAAGAGAAGTTGGGAAGGGAGCCCAAGAATGCTCTTGTTCCTACTGAGCCCGCCCCGCCCTGCCCTCAGGTCTGCCTTCAGGGACTCGGGCCCTGACTAGCAGTCCCTCGCCCTTTCTGGGAAACTGGGTTTAAGACGTTCCCAGACCCCAGGGGAGCATTAAACCTCTGGGCTTGAGAGCTGACTTTCTCAGCCACCTCCAGCAAGTGTGAGAGGCAGATGGAAAGTGAGCTAGCTCCAGACATGTGAGAGCCCTGCTTCCTGCTCAGTCTGAGTTTGGGGGATCCCAGTCTGAACCCCAGATAGATGCATCTGTGTGTGCACCTTCGTGTGTCCACTTCCTGCACGTGTGGGTTTGGCCTCGATTCCCAACAAGTGACTTTCTGTACTTTCTGTTTCCTCTGTCACTCTCCCCACCACCCTGCTTGCTGTGTGCACGGCAGGCGGGCGGGCGGGCTGCCTGGCCCAGCCCGCAGGCCTGCAAAGGCGAGGCGCAGTCATTTAGAAACCCCCAAAGACACTTCACAGAAAACAAAGAGCACCCAGCTGGCAGCTCCTCACTGGCCAAGGCGGTCACACCATGTGCCAGGTTCCCACATGCCTTCTGAGTGCAGGACAGGGTCTACTTAGCACCTGCCACTCCCACCCCTTCCCTCTGGGGAATGGACAGGGCTCTCCCTCCAGCGCCCTCTTGGCCACCGTCTGTGCACACCTTATTGAAAGCGTTCTTCACCTCCTCCACCGCATTGCTCTTGTTCTCACAGGGGAGGAACCGATGCTGTGAAAAGGAACCGAGGGTTAATGACCCGGGCTCACCTCGCCGGCTTCCATAGCACCTGGGGGACAAGCTCCTGCCCAATGCCTATCCTGGGTGACCACCTGAGGAAGCCGAGCCTAACTCCCTCGTACCCGCTGGGCAGAGAAGAAGGAGCCCGGCGACCACCCACGGCTCTGCAGGGGCCCCTCTAGGAGACGCTTTCAAGGTTTGGAGGAACCCGGTTCTTGGGGCTTCCTCCTTGCGGTGCCAGGGGGGTCTCCCAAAGTGTTGAGCTAGCCATTCTCCGCATCCCCCTTGCCTGTCTCTCTCCTGCAGCCTCAGCCACCAAGGGCTCTTTCTCAGTCTCCGAGGCAAGGAGACTGGTCACAGCTACTCTGACGGAGCCCCGACCTGCGGCCAGGACCCAGCCCATGTGTCCGTCTCAGGGCTGGATCGAAGGAAACCAGTGGGGGGTGTCTCATGTCAGCTGGAGGGCGACCTAAATGATCTGGGGGCTTATTCACTGGTGCCCCAGCCCGGACTGAATATTCCCGGGGCCTTTGTGAAATCCCGGGGTAGATCCTGTCAGGCACTGGCTCTGCCACCCACTCTGGTTCTCAAAGGCTGAGGCCCAGAGGTGAGTGCGGTGGGCTCAGCCCAGGAGCCTCCCCCCCTTCCGGACCCTTTCTACCAGGCCCAGGGGACAAGGGTGTCTGGCTGGAACTCTGGGCCCCTGTCATGAACTAGAGGAGAGTAGCTAATACACCACAAATGAGTCACAAATAACAGGAAAGCTGTTTGCAAACCTTCACATGTAAATGCCTGGCAGCCACCCCACCCCCTGGCTCAGAGTGAGACAAGCGAGGGAAGCGACTCTGGGTGCCCCGGTGTCCCTGGCTGTGTGTCAGTGGCCTGGCTCTGGGGATGCTCCCTCCAGGGGAAGGCCTGGGCCCTTGGACTCACGCAGCGCCGCAGCCGCAGCCGCAGGGTCTTCAGGTTGTCGCCCAGGGAGTTCACATGCTGCTTGATGTCTGGCCCTTGGTCCTGAGCCCTTGGCATCACCTCCTCCAGGTAAAACTTGATCATCTCCGACAAGGCTTGGCAACCGAGGTAACCCTAAGGAGCGGGAGGAAGGGGGAACGGTGAGAGATGGGGACCTGGAGGAAGAGCGACTTACTAGAGGCTGGCTTCCGAGGACACCTCGGGCTCCTCCTTGACCGGCAATGAGCCGTTTGTAACCCCCCAGAGGCTGCCTATGTGCTGAGTTAAGATTTAAGATCTTCCCACTTCTCCTTTTCAAGACGGAGGACGCCTGCCGAGCTCCCCGTAGTCACGAAGCAGAATCTCCCTTCCCTTAATCACCCTGTGCACCCTCCCCCCCACCCTGGCCGCCCGCCTGCCCGCCCCCAGCCTCTCAGCCCCCACCCTCACCTTCATATCCTCCAGCAAGGCCTTGTTCAACAACATGCTCTCCAGATGGTCCTTCGTTTGCTGCAAGAAGAACGAAGAAGCAGAGTGAATCCCCCAGGTCTGGGAGGATGCCTGCCACGGGGCGTCTTTCGGATCCTCTTTATTTCTCTGGAGTCTGGCTTTTTCATCAATGCCGCTTTGACTTCAGAACGGATGGGAATATTGTAAGCAGGATCCGAAGGTGCCAAGTCACCAGCTCAACCAGGTTCTCCTCCTTGGGAGCAAGTTATTTTAAAAACACGGCAGATTGGGACGTTGAAAGCAAAAGCCCCTCTCGCCCTGGTCCTCTTCCTAGGGAGCCAGGACTCAACCGTCCTCTGGGACTCGTGCCCCACTCACATGGCCTGTGCCTTGCTTTGCCGTTTCCGGGCTGTGGGCATTGAGTTCAGGCTCTAAAAGACCTCTGGGAAGGAAGCACCTCAGCTAATGCCATTCTCCCCCATGCCTGGGGCTCCCGTAACCCTTTGAAAGGAATTGCCTGTGTAGGAAGAGGTCATTTGGGTTTCCCTGTCAGGGTATGGGGACCATCATCACTTTCCATAAAATCCTTCTTGGTTTGTCCCAGCCAATCCCCTGCGCTCCAGTGGGATGTCCCAGACAGTTTGCAGCAACAGAGAGAGCGTGATTTTACCTCCAGGGCAACTTTCCCCGGAGAGCTGCCACACCATCTGGGCTTACCGGGAACTCACTGAGCTGAACTCGGACGCGCTTAAGAATTTGGATTCAGAAAGGCCTGGGTGCCAGGGACGGAGTCAAGAAGGAGGAGGGATCTTCTGGTGGCTTCCGCAGAATGCCTCCCCCTGGTAGCCCCCCAAAGAGAGGAAGGGTGGGAGGGAGTCATACTTACAAAGAAGGCCTTCACTTTGTTGAAGGCTGCCCGGAGGTCTTGGAGCATGTGGGGTAGGTTGTCTGGGAAGTAGGTGCAGCTGTTCTCCAGCTGGGTACCCTGACTCCGGCTGGTCCACACACCAGCCAGGAAGACCAGGCCACAGAACAGTGCTGAGCGGGGCATGGTGCAGCTCTGCCTCCTTCGAGTTGGCCTTGTGGTTTGGTTTTGCAAGAGCAGCCCCTGATGTACAGGCCTTCACCTCGGGCCCCCCTTTTATACATAAAGTGGGGCCTCCCCATTCATAAAAAGCCACAGAGTCATAGATTTCCTGGCAAAGCTTTTTTTTCTCTTTTTTCTGATCAAAGCTCCTCCCTTTCCTCGACCTGTCCAACTCTGTATTGGTTGACCTTCTTATTCTTAACATTTTTAATTTTTTTAATTGTTTTTTTTGCAGTATAAGCAAAAAAAAAGGCTGGTTTAGGTCGGACTTCTGCATTCTGGGCTATTTTTAGTGTAGGCCTCTCTCTCTGTTTTAAAAATTATTATTCAGCTTCTCTTAATAAATTAAAAAAAAAAACCCACAAGCACCATTGCTTTCCCTGTAGAGCAGCTGCTCGGCCGTCACCCCACAGCCGTGTCTCCCCACAGCGTGCACAGCGACGCAGGCAACTAGCGAGTCCAGAGTACATGGTTGAGAAAGAATTGGGTTCCCCCCAGTCTGGCTGGATACTAAAGGTTTCCCTTTTTTTTTTGCTGACTTGGGGAACCATCTCAGCTCTCTAGGTCTCAGTTTCCCCAAGTAAAACCTAGGGGGAGCCCAGTGCACTCAGAGCTCTCTTCCTGTGATATGTGCCAGGTCTGCCCCTTGAAGAGGCTGGCTCCCCGGGCCAGGCAGGGTCCCCAGATGTGCCGCAGGCTCCTTGCCTGGCCTCAGAGTTCATTAGGTTTTCAGGTCCATAGCTCCACCTGGCTTGTCCCACTGCTTGGAGGAGTTGAGAATAGTCGTCACTTCTTACTGAAAGCTGTTACATACCTGGCAGGTAGCCTTCACCTTGACCCTAATTATATCTCCTTTAAAGAGGAGGGAACCAAGGCAGATTTGCTAAAGTCTCTGCCCAAGGTTACCAGGGTGTGGCTTGAGGGCACCAGAATTTGAACCCAGCCCTTCCTGACACCTGTGCCAGCCACCTCAGCCTGCTCCATACTGCCCCCAGTGTGCGAAAAGGAAAACGTGCACGAAACCGTCTTCAGAGCTTCTATTTGAGGAGTCCCGGAGCCAGGTGGCCTAGTGGTAATGAGTTGGGCTACTAACTACAAGGCCAGTAGTTTAAAATCACCAGCCCCTCAGTGAGAGAAAGATGAGGCTTTCTATTCTGGTAAAGAGTTATATTCTTAGACAGTGCTACCCTGCCCCTATAGGGTCACTGTGATTCAACCTGGCCTCGATAGCAGTGAGTTTGGTTTGGATTGGGTGGTGCACATGGCTGATGTGTTCGACTGCTAACTCAGAGGTTGGAGGGCTTAGTCTCTCCAGGAGAGAGACTTGGTGGTCTATTTCTAAACCTCATCGAGCAGAAACCCTGTGGAGCGCAGCGCTGCTCGGACTCACATGGTCTCCGTGAGCAGACGGGACTGGATGGCAACGTTCTCATGGTTGAGAGAGGGACAGGAAGAATCGAAAGCAGCAGAGAAAATGAGTCGGAATTCTCAGGGGCAAGGTAGCCAGGTGAGGTGAGGCATGCTACTCCTCGTTGGACGGGGCAGTGACATCCGGGTTTCTGCAGATAGCTGAAAAGCCTTGATGTACTTTGCCTTGAGCTTCCGCTTCCACATGGGCTTCTGCTATTGCAGCTAGGGGGAGGGCTGGGGAGGGCACAAACCTAGGGGCAGGAGGCCACTCTTCAAAGTTAGTTTCCCAAAGTGGGAGATATCGCTTCCTGGGGCCTTCGAGAGCAGATACTTACAATTGATGGGTTAATCTCATTAAAATGAATTTCCCAATAATCACCACACTTTTAGAACATTTTCTTCTTTCTTGTACTCATTCTTATTACCTCCCCACTTCCTCACTTTCACCTCCCTTTCCATACCCCTAAAAAACTATTAATCCAGTCTCTATAGATTTGCTTCTCCTGGATTTCACATAGAGAAAAACATGCCCCCACCCAAAAATTCAAAACCCAAATCATAAAAACCAAGAGTAATAAAATAAAACAGAGTAAAATCTCAATCCAAAAGAAGAGAGAAAATATTAAAAATTAGAACAAATTTAATACAGGTCAAAAGGGAGAACAAATGATGAGGTGTTAAATGTTAGCCTAACGATATTTATATGAGTCCACTTTCCAATACACTCTGTCTAATAGCAAGGTGATTCCTGCCTGGTCTAGGGCCAGAGCATATTCACCGGGGGCTTAATCCATGTGGAAGTCTCTGAAAATGGATTTTGGGTGTTCACTTTCACCCATAGCCTTCTGCAAACCCAGGGCTCAGAATTTGTGGTCTAATACCGCCCCCTCCTCTATTCTTGGATTTAATTATTTTCAAACCTTGGATCACACAGGCTGGGTGCTTCCTCCATGTGGACTTAGCTGACATCTCATTTAAATGGCTGCTGTCTGAAGACAAGCCTGTAAGACCCCAGACATTATTCTTCCGGATAGCTGTGTACCATCTGGTTTCTTCACCACCCTTTGCTATGGCACCCGTATCTTCAGTGATCTCTTCATGAGAGCAAGCACTGAATAGGACCATGTCAGAAGTACTATTTTTTCTTAGATTAGGACTATGATTAAGTGCAAGCTCAAAGTCCACTCCTGTGTCTAGGGTTCAGATATGTCACTGTTAGAGATATTCTTAACCTCTTATTGGGGAACATTATAAATCATGCTCATGTGGCATATAGTAATTCTACTGATAGTATCATTAATTTTGCCAATGGTATAGAATTAAAAAAACTGTTGAGAAGAAGATAGTGTACATGTATAGGACATCTTTTCAGACTAAAAGACATGGATTGTTGACTTGGTACAAAAGCTTTTCATTGCCAGGGGCCTGCTAAGTAATTTTTTTTTCTGAAAAGGGGGAAGTAGGTCAAATAAGTTTGAGAACCTATGCTTCATACTAAGGCAAATCCTTTATGTTCCCAAGTCTGCTTTCCATCTGTCCCAAGGGGATAACTCTACCTGCCTTCCATCCTGTTGGGCAGCTTTGGGCTTTACATAGGATGAGGTTTTGGCAACTAGCAAGTGGGTTCCGTGTATCAGTGTAGGGTACCACAGGTGTCCGTTTTTCTGGACTCATCATTCCATCAGTTGTGGGAGACTGTGATGGCACCGGGTTCTGAACCTGCCTCATCTGAGAAGGTCCCATGCCAAAGCAAGTGGGGAAGAGGTACCGGGGCCAGTCTGAGGAGTTGGGAGAAGGTCAGAGGGCCCAGGCCTAGCCTCAGGCTTGGAGAACTGTGGCTTTTTCTCCCAACCCCCTTGGGCATTGTCCACTTAAAGGTCATGAAATGAGAAAGACCCTTCAAGGAACAGGAATGGAGCTAATGTAGGGATCTGCTGCCCCTGGGAGATTGAAGAGGTGCACTCGGGGCTTCGTGGGTTCATGATGGAGTTGGGCTGCTGATGGCAAGGTCAGCAGTTTAAAACCACCAGCTTCTCTGTGGCAGCAAGGTGAGGTTTTTGACTCCCACGAAGAGTTGCAGTCTTCAGAGCCCACGGGGGCAGTCCTACCCTGCCACTTTGAGTTGGGATGGACTCGTGCCAGGGCGTGTTTGGGGCTTAGGAGATTCACTATGAGATTAGGAACACTGAGTTTTGTCACCAGGAAGCTGGGTTTCCACCTCTCCCACTCTTCTCTTCCTGCCTGGCTCCTGCGTTCTCTGTAGGGAGACCCCCCTCCCTCTCTGAACTGAATGTTCTGAGAGCAACCTCAGCAGATCCCCCAGGCCAGAGGCTTGGGCCCCAGAGGGAGGCTGGGAGGCTTCTTCCTAGACCAAACAACACAGACAACTCCCACCTTTGTTCTCGGTGTGTCCTGTGCTTCCCTTCAGGACTAAATCTACAACCCTGCACCAATGAACCCTCCCCTAGCCAGCTGCGTGCTCCCTGAATCAGAGCACCGCTCTATTAGTCTTTGTCTCGCTGGTGCCTAGCACAGGGCCTGCACCAAGGGCGATGGTCTTCTCATTGCTGTGTTGGGATGGGTGTCGGCAGAGGGCCCTACGAGTCGGCAGTCGGCTTGGGGAGTGCAGCAGAAAGGGGTCTGCTCTTGGTTCCAGCAGGCACTCAGAGGGACAGGGGTGTACTTTGACGTACACGAGAATATTCACTAGGCCTATAGCTTTATATCTTTGATCACCCCAATGATCATTCAGATTGGCTGCAACGCATAGAAACTCCATGTAGCTAGAACTATGCTCAGTACAGTTTGCAATGGCTGATTTTTCAAAAGTAGATTGCCAGGTTTTTCTTCTGAGGCATGTCTAGATGGACTTGAACTTCCCACCTTATGGTTAGCAGCCAGTAATGGGGTGTGTGTGTGTGTGTGTGTGTGGCTGAGGCTGGGTTTCTGAGGCTGTAAATACTTACAGGAGCAGACAGCCTTCTCTCTCTCTCTCTCTCATTCTTAGTGATTGATATAATATACATATATATCACTAAAAATAATTAGGGTTAAGAGATCTGGTTTATTTACTGGGTTTGAAATGCTTAGACAATCGTCTCAAACCATTTGTTGACTACTTCATTCTTCCCCTAGTGATTTGAAATTACTTTCCATTCTTATCTGAAAATTTCAGAATCTAAATAGAGATCACCACAAGCAAGTTTCCTGGTTCAATGGAGATATCGATATCTTCCCTATCAGCATAGCTCATAACATTGATGTCAAGCTGATGCCACAGAATAGGTTTGGAACATTTTTGGAAAAATTATGACCTATACCTTTATACTGAAAGAAAAAGCCTCCAAACCAACCACACCAGCAGTAAGAGGAAAGATGACTCCTGTTTCTCCAGGCTGCGGAAGCATCTCTCTTCAGAGAAGTCACTCGGGTCCACTAGAAAAGTCCCAACTTCATAGGTCACATGTGAGACACAAATGTCAACTATCCACATGGTCAGAGATCTGAGGTTGGGTTTCCGGAGATGAGCCCGACGGGGAAGGAAGTGGGGTCGC